CCTGCCCTCAGGTGCCTCTCCACCTGCCCTCAGGTGCCTCTCCACCTGCCCTCAGGTGCCTCTCCACCTGCCCTCAGGTGCCTCTCCACCTGCCCTCAGGTGCCTCTCCACCTGCCCTCAGGTGCCTCTCCACCTGCCCTCAGGTGCCTCTCCACCTGCCCTCAGGTGCCTCTCCACCTGCCCTCAGGTGCCTCTCCACCTGCCCTCAGGTGCCTCTCCACCTGCCCTCAGGTGCCTCTCCACCTGCCCTCAGGTGCCTCTCCACCTGCCCTCAGGTGCCTCTCCACCTGCCCTCAGGTGCCTCTCCACCTGCCCTCAGGTGCCTCTCCACCTGCCCTCAGGTGCCTCTCCACCTGCCCTCAGGTGCCTCTCCACCTGCCCTCAGGTGCCTCTCCACCTGCCCTCAGGTGCCTCTCCACCTGCCCTCAGGTGCCTCTCCACCTGCCCTCAGGTGCCTCTCCACCTGCCCTCAGGTGCCTCTCCACCTGCCCTCAGGTGCCTCTCCACCTGCCCTCAGGTGCCTCTCCACCTGCCCTCAGGTGCCTCTCCACCTGCCCTCAGGTGCCTCTCCACCTGCCCTCAGGTGCCTCTCCACCTGCCCTCAGGTGCCTCTCCACCTGCCCTCAGGTGCCTCTCCACCTGCCCTCAGGTGCCTCTCCACCTGCCCTCAGGTGCCTCTCCACCTGCCCTCAGGTGCCTCTCCACCTGCCCTCAGGTGCCTCTCCACCTGCCCTCAGGTGCCTCTCCACCTGCCCTCAGGTGCCTCTCCACCTGCCCTCAGGTGCCTCTCCACTCTCCACCTGCCCTCAGGTGCCTCTCCACCTGCCCTCAGGTGCCTCTCCACCTGCCCTCAGGTGCCTCTCCACCTGCCCTCAGGTGCCTCTCCACCTGCCCTCAGGTGCCTCTCCACCTGCCCTCAGGTGCCTCTCCACCTGCCCTCAGGTGCCTCTCCACCTGCCCTCAGGTGCCTCTCCACCTGCCCTCAGGTGCCTCTCCACCTGCCCTCAGGTGCCTCTCCACCTGCCCTCAGGTGCCTCTCCACCTGCCCTCAGGTGCCTCTCCACCTGCCCTCAGGTGCCTCTCCACCTGCCCTCAGGTGCCTCTCCACCTGCCCTCAGGTGCCTCTCCACCTGCCCTCAGGTGCCTCTCCACCTGCCCTCAGGTGCCTCTCCACCTGCCCTCAGGTGCCTCTCCACCTGCCCTCAGGTGCCTCTCCACCTGCCCTCAGGTGCCTCTCCACCTGCCCTCAGGTGCCTCTCCACCTGCCCTCAGGTGCCTCTCCACCTGCCCTCAGGTGCCTCTCCACCTGCCCTCAGGTGCCTCTCCACCTGCCCTCAGGTGCCTCTCCACCTGCCCTCAGGTGCCTCTCCACCTGCCCTCAGGTGCCTCTCCACCTGCCCTCAGGTGCCTCTCCACCTGCCCTCAGGTGCCTCTCCACCTGCCCTCAGGTGCCTCTCCACCTGCCCTCAGGTGCCTCTCCACCTGCCCTCAGGTGCCTCTCCACCTGCCCTCAGGTGCCTCTCCACCTGCCCTCAGGTGCCTCTCCACCTGCCCTCAGGTGCCTCTCCACCTGCCCTCAGGTGCCTCTCCACCTGCCCTCAGGTGCCTCTCCACCTGCCCTCAGGTGCCTCTCCACCTGCCCTCAGGTGCCTCTCCACCTGCCCTCAGGTGCCTCTCCACCTGCCCTCAGGTGCCTCTCCACCTGCCCTCAGGTGCCTCTCCACCTGCCCTCAGGTGCCTCTCCACCTGCCCTCAGGTGCCTCTCCACCTGCCCTCAGGTGCCTCTCCACCTGCCCTCAGGTGCCTCTCCACCTGCCCTCAGGTGCCTCTCCACCTGCCCTCAGGTGCCTCTCCACCTGCCCTCAGGTGCCTCTCCACCTGCCCTCAGGTGCCTCTCCACCTGCCCTCAGGTGCCTCTCCACCTGCCCTCAGGTGCCTCTCCACCTGCCCTCAGGTGCCTCTCCACCTGCCCTCAGGTGCCTCTCCACCTGCCCTCAGGTGCCTCTCCACCTGCCCTCAGGTGCCTCTCCACCTGCCCTCAGGTGCCTCTCCACCTGCCCTCAGGTGCCCTCTCCACCTGCCCTCAGGTGCCTCTCCACCTGCCCTCAGGTGCCTCTCCACCTGCCCTCAGGTGCCTCTCCACCTGCCCTCAGGTGCCTCTCCACCTGCCCTCAGGTGCCTCTCCACCTGCCCTCAGGTGCCTCTCCACCTGCCCTCAGGTGCCTCTCCACCTGCCCTCAGGTGCCTCTCCACCTGCCCTCAGGTGCCTCTCCACCTGCCCTCAGGTGCCTCTCCACCTGCCCTCAGGTGCCTCTCCACCTGCCCTCAGGTGCCTCTCCACTCCCACCTGCCCTCAGGTGCCTCTCCACCTGCCCTCAGGTGCCTCTCCACCTGCCCTCAGGTGCCTCTCCACCTGCCCTCAGGTGCCTCTCCACCTGCCCTCAGGTGCCTCTCCACCTGCCCTCAGGTGCCTCTCCACCTGCCCTCAGGTGCCTCTCCACCTGCCCTCAGGTGCCTCTCCACCTGCCCTCAGGTGCCTCTCCACCTGCCCTCAGGTGCCTCTCCACCTGCCCTCAGGTGCCTCTCCACCTGCCCTCAGGTGCCTCTCCACCTGCCCTCAGGTGCCTCTCCACCTGCCCTCAGGTGCCTCTCCACCTGCCCTCAGGTGCCTCTCCACCTGCCCTCAGGTGCCTCTCCACCTGCCCTCAGGTGCCTCTCCACCTGCCCTCAGGTGCCTCTCCACCTGCCCTCAGGTGCCTCTCCACCTGCCCTCAGGTGCCTCTCCACCTGCCCTCAGGTGCCTCTCACCTGCCCTCAGGTGCCTCTCCACCTGCCCTCAGGTGCCTCTCCACCTGCCCTCAGGTGCCTCTCCACCTGCCCTCAGGTGCCTCTCCACCTGCCCTCAGGTGCCTCTCCACCTGCCCTCAGGTGCCTCTCCACCTGCCCTCAGGTGCCTCTCCACCTGCCCTCAGGTGCCTCTCCACCTGCCCTCAGGTGCCTCTCCACCTGCCCTCAGGTGCCTCTCCACCTGCCCTCAGGTGCCTCTCCACCTGCCCTCAGGTGCCTCTCCACCTGCCCTCAGGTGCCTCTCCACCTGCCCTCAGGTGCCTCTCCACCTGCCCTCAGGTGCCTCTCCACCTGCCCTCAGGTGCCTCTCCACCTGCCCTCAGGTGCCTCTCCACCTGCCCTCAGGTGCCTCTCCACTCTCCACCTGCCCTCAGGTGCCTCTCCACCTGCCCTCAGGTGCCTCTCCACCTGCCCTCAGGTGCCTCTCCACTCTCCACCTGCCCTCAGGTGCCTCTCCACCTGCCCTCAGGTGCCTCTCCACCTGCCCTCAGGTGCCTCTCCACCTGCCCTCAGGTGCCTCTCCACCTGCCCTCAGGTGCCTCTCCACCTGCCCTCAGGTGCCTCTCCACCTGCCCTCAGGTGCCTCTCCACCTGCCCTCAGGTGCCTCTCCACCTGCCCTCAGGTGCCTCTCCACCTGCCCTCAGGTGCCTCTCCACCTGCCCTCAGGTGCCTCTCCACCTGCCCTCAGGTGCCTCTCCACCTGCCCTCAGGTGCCTCTCCACCTGCCCTCAGGTGCCTCTCCACCTGCCCTCAGGTGCCTCTCCCCTCTCCACCTGCCCTCAGGTGCCTCTCCACCTGCCCTCAGGTGCCTCTCCACCTGCCCTCAGGTGCCTCTCCACCTGCCCTCAGGTGCCTCTCCACCTGCCCTCAGGTGCCTCTCCACCTGCCCTCAGGTGCCTCTCCACCTGCCCTCAGGTGCCTCTCCACCTGCCCTCAGGTGCCTCTCCACCTGCCCTCAGGTGCCTCTCCACCTGCCCTCAGGTGCCTCTCCACCTGCCCTCAGGTGCCTCTCCACCTGCCCTCAGGTGCCTCTCCACCTGCCCTCAGGTGCCTCTCCACCTGCCCTCAGGTGCCTCTCCACCTGCCCTCAGGTGCCTCTCCACCTGCCCTCAGGTGCCTCTCCACCTGCCCTCAGGTGCCTCTCCACCTGCCCTCAGGTGCCTCTCCACCTGCCCTCAGGTGCCTCTCCACCTGCCCTCAGGTGCCTCTCCACCTGCCCTCAGGTGCCTCTCCACCTGCCCTCAGGTGCCTCTCCACCTGCCCTCAGGTGCCTCTCCACCTGCCCTCAGGTGCCTCTCCACCTGCCCTCAGGTGCCTCTCCACCTGCCCTCAGGTGCCTCTCCACCTGCCCTCAGGTGCCTCTCCACCTGCCCTCAGGTGCCTCTCCACCTGCCCTCAGGTGCCTCTCCACCTGCCCTCAGGTGCCTCTCCACCTGCCCTCAGGTGCCTCTCCACCTGCCCTCAGGTGCCTCTCCACCTGCCCTCAGGTGCCTCTCCACCTGCCCTCAGGTGCCTCTCCACCTGCCCTCAGCTGCTCCTCTGTTGTGTTGACGTGTGTCTCAGCGCCACTCCAAGTGCTTTTCTGGTGTGGGCGCGCTCATCGTGTGCTGCTATCATGCCATGCCATCCGCGTCCCCATGCACCCTTTCCGCCTCGCCCTCCATCCACCGCACCTCGCCTTCTTCCTTCCTCATCCCATCTCCCTAACTCCTCTGTCCCCTCACCCCCATCCACCTCCCCCTCAACCCCACCGCCCTCGCCCCTCAACCCCACCGCCCTCGCCCCTCAAGCCCATCCAAATACAATCCTATAGGATGCATTCACAAATTGATTCGCACTACCGAGTCACGACACTCTGAATATCTTTTTAGTAACTCAACCCCTTAGAAATGAACCTTGCCGTGAAAACTCAGAGATTGATTGCGATGCGGGATTGGGCGGCGAATTCGATCACGGGGCTGTAATTTCGTCGGCGTGGTTGGCGACGTCAGCGAGGCGTCGGAACTTGGGTGTTGTGCGTTTCGTATTTTTTGCGCGAGGTATTTTTCCTCGCCCCTCACTCCTCCTCACCACCCGCACCCTGCATGCCCCTCACCACAACCCCATCCCCATCGCCCCCCATCCCCATCGCCCCCATCCCCATCGCCCTCAGCTGCACGGAATGGCGGCGCTGCTCGCCCTCGCCATGCTCCACAACAGAACCCTCGTGCCGCTTCCAGGAACCTTCCAGCCAGCCAACAACCAGGTGTGCAGAGGTGCGTGTTTGACAGCTGGGCACCGTTGACAGCTGGGCACCGTTGACAGCTGGGCACCATTGACAGTGCAGGCAGCACGTGTGGGTGGCCCCCATGCATGCGGCCATACGTCCCCAAGTCATCATGTGAGTGTTTGACAACTTCAATCGAAGCAGTAGTTCCGTGAAAGTGCAGAAAATGAAAGGATCAAAACTTTTTGGGAACGTGCTTGTGCTTTAAGGGGCACTAGCCCCAATCACTAGGCAGGTTAGGGCTACTGCCTTCCGAAACGCATCCCATTCTCTAAGCTTAGAAGCTTATTCCCCCCCCCCCCCCCCCCCCCCCCCCCCCGATTCCGATACTGTTCATCCCTGTGCCGCCTGTTCATCCCTGTGCCGCCTGTTCATCCGTGTGGCGTCCCTGGCTCGTATGGATTTCCGAAAGCCTGGCCCCGCTCCTCACAATGGCTCTAGTGTGTCCTCTTCACATCACACACAATCTACTCATGGCATGAGGTTGTGTTCTTGTATATCCTGGCGTTGGATGGCATGGATTGGAATAATATGGCATGTCATGATATGGCATGACATGGCATTGCATGGCAGAGTTCCAGCCAATGGGCGGCATGGGCAGCGATGGTAGCGTGGGCGACTGGGGCTGCTTCTTCTTCCCCATCGCCTCCCCTCACTGCTCTGCTGACATCAGCGCTGCTATGGCAGCCAGTCGCATGCCGCCATGTCAAAGCGACACCTCTCAGTTCGAGCAGCTGGCCACGTCAGCAGATAGGGTGGTGTGTTTGGATGTGTCTGACGTGGACCAATCCAGCAGTGCTGCTCTCTCATCGGTGGAGGCCCGAGTAACCAAAATGTACGTGTTTGATCTCTGTAGCTTATGTGCTATACTTGTATATGGTGTATGTATTGTAGTGACACAGGAGTTCTATTCCATCCATGCTGCCTGTGCTCACTGATTGGCGCTGCGCTGCCTTGCTTCTCTGCGTGCCTGCTCACACTACCGTGCCCCTCTCTATCTCTCCCCCATACCCCCTCATCCCATCCTGCTCACCCACCCCCCTGTGCCCCCTGCGCCTCTTCGCCCCGTGGCCTGCCTTTTCTCCCGCCAGCTGGGGAAGGCCGCATGTGGAGCAGCAGGCACAGAGGGAGTATCTGGGGGAGGTGCCACCCACAGATGATTTCAGACAGCAGGTACGTGGGGCACGGAAACGAGCATTCTGTGAGTTGTGGAAAACGATTACTGGTGAAAAACGGTGACTGGTGATGAATGGTGCTGAGCAAGTGCCGGTGTGCTACTTGCAAAGCATCCGTGTGTCTGAGTGGTGGAGTCCTCCCACTTGCTGTTGATCCATGCCGCTCCATCCACCCCTCCTGTCTACCCTGGCAACGAGGCCACCTTTGCGCGGCACAATGAAGGGCACCGCTGGTGGACACCGCTGGTGGGCACAGGCGGGGCTGTTGATAAGCAATGAGTTGTCCTCATGCTTCCCCACCATGTGCACTGCTGGCCTGGCAGGCACCGTGCACCTGTGCAGTCTCCTTACTCTTGCTTTTGTCTTGGCCCCTCTACCTCCCAACTCCCAAGCAACGTGCACGGCTGGCGGGCATGGGGTGCCCTGCCCATTTGCGCGTGCCTGGTTCGTATTCTGCCTTCCCCCTCGCCTCGCCCCCTCCCTCAGCTGCACTGCTGGCGGGCGCAGGCGGTGCGCTTCATGCTGAGGTGGCCATCAGCCCATCTCTGCCACGTCATCAACCAACAGAGACACACCGCCTATGGCATGCACGTGGCCAATCACATTGCTTCCCTCCCAGCCATCTACGCCTCCATCCTCCAATCAGTAGCTGCCACCTCAGCAGGCCCAGCCGCCGCCCAGAACATCCCCTTGTCAGCTGAAGCATCAGATCTTGCAATGCTAGATCTGATTCCGGGATCAAATCCCGACTCACAGCCAAGGGCGAGCAGCATGGGGGTGGGATTGGAGGCGCGAGTGTGGGGAGCGAGGGGGTTCGACAGGTGCAGTGAGCGGTGCGGAGGGGTGGGGATGGGCGAGTATGGTCGAGTAGGAGGGGAGCCGCTGTTTGTGGTGCGACCCATGGTGGGCGTGGTGATGGGGGGGAGTGGGGGCACGGGGGTTGGTGGAGGAGGACGAGGGGAGGAAGGAAGAGGAGGAAGAGGTGTGCTGACGTCATCAGGGATGGGAGTGGGAGTGCATGTGATGGCAGCGAGTGTGCTGCGGCTGAGCGATGTGGACGTGAGGCACATGTGGGTCAGCTGGCATGCGCAGGTGAGGCACATGTGGGTCAGCTGGCATGCGCAGGTGAGGCACATGTGGGTCAGCTGGCATGCGCAGGTGAGGCACATGTGGGTCAGCTGGCATGCGCAGGTGAGGCACATGTGGGTCAGCTGGCATGCGCAGGTGAGGCACATGTGAGTCAGCTGGCATGCGCAGGTGAGGCACATGTGGGTCAGCTGGCATGCGCAGGTGAGGCACATGTGGGTCAGCTGGCATGCGCAGGTGAGGCACATGTGGGTCAGCTGGCATGCGCAGGTGAGGCACATGTGGGTCAGCTGGCATGCGCAGGTGAGGCACATGTGGGTCAGCTGGCATGCGCAGGTGAGGCACATGTGGGTCAGCTGGCATGCGCAGGTGAGGCACATGTGGGTCAGCTGGCATGCGCAGGTGAGGCACATGTGGGTCAGCTGGCATGCGCAGGTGAGGCACATGTGGGTCAGCTGGCATGCGCAGGTGAGGCACATGTGGGTCAGCTGGCATGCGCAGGTGAGGCACATGTGGGTCAGCTGGCATGCGCAGGTGAGGCACATGTGGGTCAGCTGGCATGCGCAGGTGAGGCACATGTGGGTCAGCTGGCATGCGCAGGTGAGGCACATGTGGGTCAGCTGGCATGCGCAGGTGAGGCACATGTGGGTCAGCTGGCATGCGCAGGTGAGGCACATGTGGGTCAGCTGCATGCGCAGGTGAGGCACATGTGGGTCAGCTGGCATGCACAGGTGAGGCACATGTGGGTCAGCTGGCATGCGCAGGTGAGGCACATGTGGGTCAGCTGGCATGCGCAGGTGAGGCACATGTGGGTCAGCTGGCATGCGCAGGTGAGGGTGAGGGTGAGGGTGCACATGGCACTGGCAAAGCTGGGTGTGGTGTGGGCATTGTAATTTGGGGCGTAGGTATTGTAGTGAGGGCCATGGGCGAGAGCGAGAGAGGAGTGTGGCTGCAGTGTTCTGGCTTCAGCATGCTCATTCCACACAAGAATTCACTTCTCATTCTGCTCCTCCCTTCCTTCCCAACCTTCCCCTTCCTACTCCCATCTCTCCCCTGCCCAGCTGCCACCGCCCAACACCATGCACCTACCTGACTGGACCCTCTACATGCCCTCGCCCTCGCCCCCACCCACCCTCCCCTCCTCGCCATCCACCCCACACCGCCTCCTCCAGCAGCAAGCACCACCTGCCCCTGCTGCCGGCACAGCAGCGCTGTCCCCTTCCCCTGCTTCTGAGAGCGCTGCAGCTGCAATAGGGCCGGCTGCCCCTGCGGCCGGTGCAGGCAGCACAGTGGGTGATGGTGAGAGTGGTGGGAGCGAGGGTGCCGGAGGAGGGAGTATGGACGGTGCAGTGGAGGCGGGAGGAGATGGGTCGGGGGATGGGGAGCGGATGGCACGGCTGGTGGTGGCGGCGCAGTGCGATGCGTTCGTGGGCATGCATGGGGATGAGTGGGCTGAGCTTTTGGATGAGATGAGGTGCACTGGGGGTAGAAGACAGTCGCGGTTCGTGTTCATTAATGTTCCATGATACGTACCGTGTGGTGAGATGAGATGAGAAGTGTATTGTTTCGTATATGCTGTATTAAGCAATGCCGTATCTCTGCGTGCCCATGCAAGGCAGCATTATGCCGGGTGCTTGGCATCAACCCGTATGCAACCACATCATCCACTCCATTCTGTGGGGGAGACTCCTGCTGTGGCACACAAGTGGTAGGAACATTCACCATACTGAATGTATCAATATCATAAATCACATCAATTTCATAAATCCACAACCCCATTGTGCGGCCCACTAGCTCATCCCACTCAGCACTGGCAATGGGTACTGCGTTCACAGGGTCACACCCATCACATCACCATGTTCATGGCCGACATATTCAAACAACCCTGGGACAGACATGTAGGTAATCTGAGCTCAGGAGAGCACAAAAGTCATACCGATCAGATCAGTTTCGTCTTATATCGCGAACCCTGGTTTGGAAACGCGAAATTCGAATTTCAAGTTTTGGCGCTGACAAAGCGGAATACGCGGCGCCGTATTGCATTCGAAGACGCATTCCATGTTGTTGGGCTGAGAAAAAGCCCTTAGGATCTTTGCAGAGGTGAATTCTGGGTAAAATTGATGTAGTAGCGGAAGCGTTTTAATAAAGAGTTGTGAACCACCTTGCGCTAGTATGTGAGGGCAAAGTTGATTGATTAGAGCAAAGAGATACAAGATTATATATGAATACAGGGAATATGAAAAGACACAGTTATAACTACTTTACTGTTGCTGTTGCGGTTCGATACAGTGACGACTCGGGCAACTGCTCTGTAACGAGTCAGTTGTGTGTCCTTGCTGTCGCGCTGTATTTGTCAGGTCAAAGGTTGCTGACCTTTGACTTTCGCGTAACCTCCGACAGTTACTTCAACCTCCGAGGGTTGACTCGCTGGTGCTTCGATAGTGTTTTGCTTCGCTTGTGTCTTGGTGTTTCGACACGACAGAGGCGCTTAGGTCAATTGTTTCCAACACTCCCCTTCGCTTCTGGAGTGTCGCTGCTGGTGACGTGGCTCTGTCCAGTTAGCAGCATGCAGTACTCGAACTTCTGCTTTCCAAGCTTCTTGGTCAAGTAGTCAGCTGCCATCTCGGATGTGGGGCAGTATGACAGTTCGAGTCTTCCCTTCTCGATCTCGTCTTTCACGAAGAAGTTTCGCAGGGCGATGTGTTTCGTCCTGTTCGCGAAGCCGTTCTTGTTGGCTATGCGAATGGCCGACTGGTTGTCGCAGAACAGGGTAAAGCTTGGTAACTGGGCTAGCTTGGCTTCCTCCAGAAGTTCGCGAAGGTACAGTCCTTCCTTGGTGGCTGAGCAAAGTGCGATATATTCTGCTTCAGCTGAAGAGAGGGCGATTAATTCCTGTTTGCTCGACTGCCAGGAGATAGGACCGATAGGCTCGAAGCGGTAGATGTAGCCGGTGCGGGAGCGCCTGTTGTCGGAGTCGCCGGCGTGATCGGCGTCGACGTAGCCGATTAGTTTAGGCGTTGTAGCCGTGTTTTTATGGTAGGTCAGGCCGATTGTCGGAGTGCTGACGAGGTAGTGAAGAGCGCGATCGAGCTCCGCCAGGTGTTCCGCTTCAGGTTTCTTGAGGTAGGTGGCGAGCTGACTTGCAGAGTACGATAAGTCCGGGCGGCAGGTGACAGCTGCGAAGAGGAGGCATCCTAGCTTCCTCTGGTAGTCGCGTATGCCTGCGGGCTTGAGTAGAGCGGAGCCTTCCTTGTGGTTTCCTGCCGTGTAGCGGTATGGCATTGAGATGACGGTCGGTGTGAGTGCGAAGCGCTTGGCGATGGTGTCGGCGTATTTCGCGGCGCTGAGGTAGATCGCATTTTCTTCTTCCTGGATGTTGAGGCCGAGGTACTGTGTGACGGTGGACGAGACCGTGAGTGTGAGATCCCTTCGTAACTCCCCTTCGAACCAGGTAGTGACGCTGTCGGTTGAGCCGATATAGAGCAAATCGTCTACGTTGACGATTAGCAGGATGTAGTCAGCTCCCTTTGTAAGCCGGTACATGCCTTGGTCGTGAGGTAGTTGGTGGAACCCGATGCGAGTGAGTCTTGCATGCAAGTACTGCTGCCACAGCCTCGGGGCTTGTTTGATGCCGTAGAGCGACTTCAGCAGCTGACAGACTTGATTAGGCTCTCCGTTGGAGCCGTGCGGTAGCTCGACGGAGATTTCTGCATCGACGGGTGCGTAGAGGAATGCGTTGGCGACGTCAATTTGCCGCAGCTTCCTTTTCTTCATGGCGGCGATCGCGAGAAGAATTCGCAGCGAGGTGTGTCGGCTGACTGGAGCGAATGTCTCGGTGAAGTCGCGTCCGTGTTCCTGGTCGAAGCCGTGTACGACCCAGCGTGCTTTGAACTTCTCGATGGTGCCGTCGGCCTTCGTCTTCACGCGGAAGACCCACTTTCCGGTGAGAATTGTCTTGTTTCGTGCTACGCCAATGGGAACGACCTTCCAGGTGTTGCGTTCCTCCAGTGCTTTCAGCTCCTTGTCCATGGCTTCGCGCCATTTTTCCTTATGCTCCCCCCCCAAAGCCTGCTGAACTGTCGCAGGCTCCTTAGGGAGCGCAGTGCCGTGGACCGCGGTCACCAGGCCAAGTATCTGGAGGCCACTCTGTGTGTAGCGCGGAAGTGATGTGTCCTCGGGATAAACTGCTTCGTCTCCCGCTTCTGGTGTAGGGTTGAAGTTTGGTCCTACACGTTCTGCTTCGTTGGTGTTGACTTGTGCAGGTGTAACGTAACCGTTGTCGGCAAAGGGGTAATAGGTTTCGGCGTTGATGCTGTCGCGTGGATTTTCGTCATCCATTGGCACGTCGACGGAGCAGTAGGGGAGAGGTCCGGCTTCTTCCGAGGCTCTTTCCACGTTCTGCTCGTCCCAGTCAGCTTCGTCGTCTGCCGAGGCGAAGGCTCGGGTGCCAAGAAAACCATCGGAGCGATCGGGGTTTCCTTCTTGCAAGTTGGCGAGGTAATACCGGAGGGTGAGGTTTTCGTAGAAGATGACATCACGTGCTGCTACTGTTTCCTTCGTCTCGAGGTCGAAAATCTTCCATGCGTTGTAGTGTTTTTCGATGCCCAGATGCAGTCCCCACTGTGCGCGTTGGGAGAATCGGCCAGCTCGTGCAGATGGGGGCCGGTACTGTACCATGCAGCCGAAGACTCTCAACATTTTTGTGCTGCCCAGTTTCCCTGTCCACAGCAGATGCGGTGATGCGTTGTTCGGGAGCGATGATGACGAGAGCAAGTTGTGCAGCATGACGGCGTGGTCCATTGCTTCGGGCCACTGGTCGTTGGGCAGGTGCATGCCACGTAGCAGCTTGCGCATGGTGTTCTGGAGGGTCCTGTTCATCCTTTCTGCTACACCCTGCTGTTGATGGGCGTAGGGGAGAGAGATGAGTCGCTTGATTCCTCTCTCTGCCAAGTACTCCTTGAACCTTTGTGAGGTGTATTCTCCCCCTCCGTCTGACTGGAAGCTCTTGAGTTTTACTCCGGATTCTCGTTCTGCTACTGGAAGCCAAGCGACGAAGGCTTCGAAGGCCATGTCGCGGCTTGGGAGATTGAGGTGCCATACGGATCGAGTGGCTGCGTCGATGAAGGTGATGGTGTAGTTGTACGCGTTTTGTCCAGGCTCGCGGTTGTACAGGATGTCGCTGTACACCTTCTCGAGTGGCGCGTAAGCTGGTGCGCTTGGGTTGTGGTGAGGCACGAACGGTTGATGCGGTAGGTCAGCTTCGGGACAGGTGAAGCATGTTCTGCGGGCTCGCTGAAGTTCTCTGCCGTCAGTTAGGAGTAGAGAGTCTTTGTCGAGTACTCCTGCTCTTATCGTGTTATTTAAGACCGTGTTGCTTGGGTGACCCATTCTTGCGTGCCAGGTTCCTTCGGTGGCGCGATGTCCGGGTGAGCGTCGGTACATGTCGGAGTTGGAGTAGAAACCGGCGGTGAAGTTGGCGCTTCGGTGGACTTCTCGTTGAGTCGGAGTTAGCTGCTGCGCGGGTGTTGGTGGTGTATCGTCGATGAAGATTGGTGCCGTTGAAGGGCCAGCGATTGGTGTCGTTGTTGCCACTGCTGTTGTTGTCTCTGCTGCTGCCGATGGTGTCTCTGCTGCTGCCGGTGTTGTCTCTGCTGCTGCCGATGTTGTCTCTGCTGCTGCCGGTGTTGTCTCTGCTGCTGCCGATGTTGTCTCTGCTGCTGCCGATGTTGTCTCTGCTGCTGCCGAATGTTGAATTGTCGCTAACGCTCTTGTCCTTTCTGCTTCAGGAATGGTATGTAAATACCAGAAGCCTTCTGGACTGAAGTCGGGGTCGAGGTCCGGTGGATGTGTCCAGGAGGTGAAGGTGACGATCCCGTCACTGTCTGCGGTGCCGAGATCTGGGACGAAGTCGAAGATGAAGACATTATTTTTCAAGATTGCCTTTCCGATATAAAGGCCTCCTCTCCCGTGGTACAGTTTGAATTCTTGGGTGGTGCTGTCTGCTTCAAGGTGTATGCCCTTCGCCATCAGTTGGCTGACGCTCAGTAAGTTCTTGCCGAGGCCTTCTGCTATTAAGACTTTCGACGTCTGTAGTATGACATTTGTTTCTCGTGACTGGAGTTGAACCACTCCTTGTCGTCGTGTGCGCAGGTTTTGGTTGTTGGCGACGGTAATGACGACTTCGCGTTGAAGTTGGTGCTCGCGCTGAACGAAACGTCCCGAAGAGCACATGTGCTGCCCGCAGCAACTGTCCAAGAACCAAGTGTCCTTCCTGGACGGCTCACTTTGGGCGATGGCCGCGTACGTCGGGTTCGGTTGAAGTGACTCGCGGCGAGGTGTGATGTTGTCAAGTTGCTCTTCCGGTGAGTAGTGTGGCGGTGACTCGGTGATGCAGGAGTCGGTCAGTTTTGCCATGCAGCTAACGATATTTCTTGCTCCTTGTGCAGATTGTGTTGTTGAAGGCTGCGACTGACTCGTGGGGTTCGCCTGCGTCGATGCCACTTGGCTGCTTGAGGGTCGAAGCTGTCGTTGCGGTGGAGTTGGCTGTTGTCGATTCGGGCAATGTGTGCGTGGGTGTCCTGGCGTCTTGCAGATGTGGCAGAACGGAGGTACGGGCCTTGGTTGTTGTCGGTTGTTGTTGTTCTTGTAGCGTCGCTGAGTGTGGAAAGCGAATTCCGGTGCTGATGTCTTCTTCTTGTGCCTTTCTTCTTGCAGGTCCATGTCTTGTTGCTCGGCATGAATTTCGGAGCAAAGTGCTGCTTTGGAGATTCTTCCGTGAGCTCGGAGAAGGGCTTTTGTGGCGCGCCATTGAGGACCGAGGCCGCCAATGATGACTGTCACGAAGGCGTCTTCAGATATCGACCCCCCGCATCGAAGGGGTTTGTCGCGCAATTCGCGACAGCGACTGATATACGCCATCCCCTTTTCCCCTGGATTCATTTCGACTGTTGTCAGTTGTGCCATTAGTCGACTCTGTCTTACGCTGTTTGTTGCTTGGTACAGGCTTTTCAAGTGGCTGTATGCGAGCTCAGCGGAGTTGCCGTATCCCCGGTAAGACCGAATATTCTGTTGCTGAGTTGGGGTGATGTTCCTCAGTAGGATTGTGTACGCCATCATTGACTGATAGGTGTACTGCTGCTTCCCGTACTGTGTGCCGTTTGTTGGGTATGGCAGGGATCCGTCGAAGAAGCCGAGGATTTGCGCGCCTTCCATCATCAGCTCGAACTCGAATGACCAGGTAAAAAAGTCATTTCCCTCGAAAGGTCTTGATGTCTGCAGCTTCAGAACGTGCGCGAACTGCGACTGAACTTGTAGCGCGTCCAGTGTCTTCTCTTGTCCAGGTGCAGGCTGCGGTTGTGGCATAAAACTAACGGAGCCGCGCTGGGGCTCGTACGGAGCAAAGGTAGGTTGCTGCTGTTGATTTCCACGTGCGTAGGATGAACCATCAAGGCTCATTGGAGTCACGTCGTTATTGTTGTTGCTGTTGTGTGACTGCGCAGGTGCCGATTGCTGGTGTTGCTTGTAGAAGGACATGAAGGAGAAAAACTTCTCCATCATGCTCTGGTCGAAGCCTGCAGGTTGATTCGCGGGAGTCTCGGTGGATGTTGCCCTGGGTCTTGTTGCCGTACCCTCCTCTGTCTGTAGGCCAGAGGCAGGAGGTGGAGTGGGAGTAGTGCCGGGAGAACCGATAGAGGAACTCCTTTCCTTCTGAGTAGCCATGTCTTCTGATGTTGTAGGTGTCTTGATAGTTTAATTCCCCCTGATAGCTCTCATAACATGTTGGGCTGAGAAAAAGCCCTTAGGATCTTTGCAGAGGTGAATTCTGGGTAAAATTGATGTAGTAGCGGAAGCGTTTTAATAAAGAGTTGTGAACCACCTTGCGCTAGTATGTGAGGGCAAAGTTGATTGATTAAAGCAAAGAGATACAAGATTATATATGAATACAGGGAATATGAAAAGACACAGTTATAACTACTTTACTGTTGCTGTTGCGGTTCGATATAGTGACGACTCGGGCAACTGCTCTGTAACGAGTCAGTTGTGTGTCCTTTCTGTCGCGCTGTATTTGTCAGGTCAAAGGTTGCTGACCTTTGACTTTCGCGTAACCTCCGACAGTTACTTCAACCTCCGAGGGTTGACTCGCTGGTGCTTCGATAGTGTTTTGCTTCGACCAACTTGTCGGTGCAAGAACGCGTCTCTGCGTTTTTCTTCTCCCTCTCAATGCTCAGTTCTCCCTGTTGGAGAATCGAGTTTCTGCCGCCCCAGCCCTTTGCACACAAGCAGCAGCAAGGGGGAATGTCGGCGATGAATCAGAGGCTTCGGGAAGTACTTCGAAAGTTCCACCACCAATCAGATTTCAGCCGAAGACTCGATACAGTTCAAAGCTGCCTTCAGACCGAAGTGTTGGCAGTTTCTACAGGTTTCTACACATCAGAATCAGCTATAACAGAAATATCCAGAGTTTTCTTATTCATGCACCTCATGTGGCACTCAAAGTCACTCAAGGTCCATGCAATCTAGATTGTGCCCAAGTTACCAGGGAAGTTACATTGTCTATCAGCCTAGTTTGAGCTCTCAATCTGTCTTTTTTGTGATGCCTACAGAGTTGTGCTTTAGTGGGCTTGTTAATCTTGAACATAGTGAAGTTTTACCTCATCCAGTCAATTCCAGCAGCCCTGCTAAGACTTTCCAGCCAAGTTTCCAGCCCTCCAGTAGTCACAGCTACTCTGTTTTACAAGTCTCCCTTCGCGACCTTGCTTTTCACGCCATGCGCTTTATCCGCAAGCTCAACACACAAGAACGAAACAACCCTCCCAACCCACACAAAGACGTTCTTTTCAACAGACTTTGCCCGTTTATGGACCCGGTTTTCTACCCGAGTTTTGACCATCAACTTCGTGACGAAACGATAGTTACTGCCTTGCAGCTAGGCCACACCGCCCTCCATGAACGAATTAGCGAATCGATCTGCCTAATTTCATCCCTCACCCGCTTGCATGCAACTGGTAGCGGCGTCGCATCCCTGGCCCGCTGAATGCTCTGGTCAGTAGTGCCCTCCCAGCGTCAATCCGTCATTCTCTCCCGCCGTTCTTTCTTCAACGCGCTTTGCCCACAAGTTTGTCGCTTAGAAAACTGACAATCCTCCCAACCGGGAAGGCCATTTCTTCGCCCGTGCCCAGCAATCACCCCTCGGTGGCGACTTCGCCCCGTCTGTCGAAAGCCGTTGGTCGCTCCCAGGTGACTGGTGCGCGAATATTTACGACGTGCCGTGCGAAGGTAACGACGCCGTGAAGAACTTGAGATCAGATGGACACTATTTTGACAGCTGGAGATGGGGGGAACGAGAGGGCATGGAGGGACGAGGGGGATTGGAGGGACGAAAGGGAGTGGAGGGGTGAAAGAGATTGTAAGGACGAACTGAAGAAATGCGCGGAAGGCGTTGGCGGAGGCAAGGCGGCGGGAAGAGGAGCTGGAAGGAGTGGTGCGGGAGGGCGAGAGGGCGATGGGGGAGCTGGACGAGTGGATTGGGCGCAAGGTGGGAACGATGTCGTCAGTAGTTGCCGTGCTTCGAGAGGAGTGGCTCACGAGAGCCGTGATGTCTCTGGCTGAGGGAACTCGCAAGCGCGCGCGCATGGCGGATGGTTCGTGCTCGCATCCGATGATGATGATGATGGAGGTGAGCTCACGGCACGTTCAACGCCCTCGTCAGGCCACGCCATGCCGCCGCGCAATCATGCCATGCCATGATAAGACATGCCATGCCATGATAAGACATGCCATGCCACGGCTTCCCTCTTTTTTCCCACTGTTACCGTCTTCTTATTTCCCTCCTCCCTCTCATTCTCTCTCGCACCTCCAAGCTCCCTCTCTCTCTACTATTGTCTCTCTATTCTCTCGCATGGGCGTCGCCCTTTTCTCCATTTCTCGTATCCCCTCCGCCCACCCTTCCTTGCCTTCCCTACCTTCACAACCTCCTTTCTCTCTCCTTGGCTTTATATCCCCCGTCCGTTATATCGCAACTCTCTCTATGTCCCACACCCTTGTTTCCTTCCCCGCCTATATATTTTCCTGCCCGGCACCATCTGACAGGGATTGATAGGTCTCTTCCCCCTTCCTGGCCCCCTCTCGCCACTCAGCATCTGCATCACTGCATCGCACCACCTCCCCCCGCTGCTTATCCTGGCTCTCATACCTTTTTTTTCTTGCACCGTGTGGCAAACCTCTCTGCTTATGCGGACGCCATTCGGTCAGCAACGCCGAGAGTGAGGTGTGCAGGACTCCAACCCACCTGTCCTGTCGTCTCGTGTGAGTCAGGCGGGCAAACCTGACCAAGCAGGAAAATATCCGCTCACCTTTCTCCCTCGTTCCCCCACACACCCATTCCCACCTTAACACATTCGTCGGATCGCCCACGTGGCAGCAACTGACGGCTCTATCCGCCCATGCGGAGGCCATCCATTCCATGGTGCAGGCTGTGAGGAAGCTGGCATTCGGATTCGAGGGTCGGAAGGCTCAGGCGGATAGATTGAGAGAGGAGAACGAGGAGATGATGCAGAAGCAGTGGGAAGAGGAGAACGAGGCGGGGGGGGAGGAGGCGCAGGAAGAGGTGGTGAGGGACGAGGCGCAGGAAGAGGTGGTGAGGGACGAGGCGCAGGAAGAGGTGGTGAGGGACGAGGCGGAGGAAGAGGTGGTGAGGGACGAGGCGGAGGAAGAGGTGGTGAGGGACGAGGCGGAGGAAGAGGTGGTGAGGGACGAGGCGGAGGAAGAGGTGGTGAGGGACGAGGCGGAGGAAGAGGTGGTGAGGGACGAGGCGGAGGAAGAGGTGGTGAGGGACGAGGCGGAGGAAGAGGGGGTGAGGGACGAGGCGGAGGAAACGACCAAGGGAGTAGATGAGACGATGGGCGATGGGCTCGAGGTTTTCGGGAATGAGACTTGCAGGCGCGGGTTTGAGGGAGGGGCTGGGTCCACGCAAGTGGAAGGAGCAAGCGGCGAGGCAGAGGAGAATCACGAAAACGAAGCAGAGGGAGAGGAAGGGCGGGTGACAGGGTCAGCAGATCACGTGGCAATGCAAGAAGCAGAGCAAGGGGCAGACCAAGGAGCAAAGCAGGGGGGAGGGCAAGAAGCAGAGCAGGGGAGAGGGCAAGAAGCAGAGCAAGGGGGAGATCAAGGAGCAGTGCAGGGGTTAGGGCAAGGAGCAGAGCAAGGGACAGGGCAAGGTGCAAAGCAGGGGGGAGGGCAAGAAGCAGAGCAAGGGGCAGATCAAGGAGCAGAGCAAGGGACAGGGCAAGGTGCAAAGCAGGGGGGAGGGCAAGAAGCAGAGCAAGGGACAGGGCAGGAAGCAGAGCAGGGGGTAAGGCACGGAGCACAACAGGGTTTATGGGAGGAGCGAGCAGCGGATTCGAACAGGCAGTCAGTGAGGCAGCCGGTTGCCAGGGAGAGAGGCGTGAAAGAGGAAGGTCTTGACGATCTTCCCATGGTGCAGGTGAGCGGGACGAGGAGAGATGGACGGCTGGAGGGGGATTGAGAGCCATCTGCACAAGAGGGAGTTGTGGCTGGAGGGGGATTGAGAGCCATCTGCACAAGAGGGAGTTGTGGCTGGAGGGGGATTGAGAGCCATCTGCACAAGAGGGAGTTGTGGCTGGAGGGGGATTGAGAGCCATCTGCACAAGAGGGAGTTGTGGCTGGAGGGGGATTGAGAGCCATCTGCACAAGAGGGAGTTGTGGCTGGAGGGGGATTGAGAGCCATCTGCACAAGAGGGAGTTGTGGCTGGAGGGGGATTGAGAGCCATCTGCACAAGAGGGAGTTGTGGCTGGAGGGGGATTGAGAGCCATCTGCACAAGAGGGAGTTGTGGCTGGAGGGGGATTGAGAGCCATCTGCACAAGAGGGAGTTGTGGCTGGAGGGGGATTGAGAGCCATCTGCACAAGAGGGAGTTGTGGCTGGAGGGGGATTGAGAGCCATCTGCACAAGAGGGAGTTGTGGCTGGAGGGGGATTGAGAGCCATCTGCACAAGAGGGAGTTGTGGCTGGAGGGGGATTGAGAGCCATCTGCACAAGAGGGAGTTGTGGCTGGAGGGGGATTGAGAGCCATCTGCACAAGAGGGAGTTGTGGCTGGAGGGGGATTGAGAGCCATCTGCACAAGAGGGAGTTGTGGCTGGAGGGGGATTGAGAGCCATCTGCACAAGAGGGAGTTGTGGCTGGAGGGGGATTGAGAGCCATCTGCACAAGAGGGAGTTGTGGCTGGAGGGGGATTGAGAGCCATCTGCACAAGAGGGAGTTGTGGCTGGAGGGGGATTGAGAGCCATCTGCACAAGAGGGAGTTGGTGACAGTCATTACCTGGAGTGGGTGAGAAGCATGAGAAAATGTGAAAGAAATCCCTTCTGATCTTACAAGTACCGCGTCCGAAGGGCCTCATATCAGAGACCCTCACCTGCTACTTGCTTACGTGTCCATGTGGCCCCATTCATTCATTTTCCTCCCCTTGACTCTCCTTTCCTGTCTTTTCCTCCCCTTCCGTTTCCTCATCTGCTGAAAGTTTCCTGTTTCCTCTGTTCCTCGCCAACGCTCACACTCCATCCCAATTCCCCTCTAATTCACACGCGCCATTCATGACTGAGTCTCCCTCGCATTCCCTCGTTGCTCCCCTCTTTCCACTCTTGCCCCTTGTCCCAAGCCTCACCCATTCCCCCTCCCTGCTCTTGCCCCCATCCCACCCCTCCCCCATTCCCCCACTGGTCCACTGCAGCCACTCCTTTCCGCGGCCCACAATGCTGGGAGCAAACAAGTGGCGAGAGTGGATTCGGGAGGAGCGGTCACAATGAATGTGGAGGCGAGGAACGCCCTCAAGGGAGGAGGGGGAGGCTGGGCGGGGGGAGAAGGGGGAACCCAGGTGCAGGGGGCGCATCAGTGGCCGGTTGGTGGGAGAGCCAGCAAAGCGGAGGTGAGGGCAAGGCTGCAGGGAAGGATCAGTGCTATACTGCAATTCCGCCCCGACAGGCAGGGAAGAGTTACCCGGGAGATCGACTGGGTGGTGTCGCAGCTCTCCTCCCAGGACCCCACGGCTACAGAGCTCAGTCTCTGTAACCTCTCCCTCGCCTTGTACCTGCACCTCACGCCCCTCTGCTACCTGCACCTCACGCCCCTCTGCTACCTGCACCTCACGCCCCTCTGCTACCTGCACCTCACGCCCCTCTGCTACCTGCACCTCACGCCCCTCTGCTACCTGCACCTCACGCCCCTCTGCTACCTGCACCTCACGCCCCTCTGCTACCTGCACCTCACGCCCCTCTGCTACCTGCACCTCACGCCCCTCTGCTACCTGCACCTCACGCCCCTCTGCTACCTGCACCTCACGCCCCTCTGCTACCTGCACCTCACGCCCCTCTGCTACCTGCACCTCACGCCCCTCTGCTACCTGCACCTCACGCCCCTCTGCTACCTGCACCTCACGCCCCTCTGCTACCTGCACCTCACGCCCCTCTGCTACCTGCACCTCACGCCCCTCTGCTACCTGCACTCACGCCCCTCTGCTACCTGCACCTCACGCCCCTCTGCTACCTGCACCTCACGCCCCTCTGCTACCTGCACCTCACGCCCCTCTGCTACCTGCACCTCACGCCCCTCTGCTACCTGCACCTCACGCCCCTCTGCTACCTGCACCTCACGCCCCTCTGCTACCTGCACCTCACGCCCCTCTGCTACCTGCACCTCACGCCCCTCTGCTACCTGCACCTCACGCCCCTCTGCTACCTGCACCTCACGCCCCTCTGCTACCTGCACCTCACGCCCCTCTGCTACCTGCACCTCACGCCCCTCTGCTACCTGCACCTCACGCCCCTCTGCTACCTGCACCTCACGCCCCTCTGCTACCTGCACCTCACGCCCCTCTGCTACCTGCACCTCACGCCCCTCTGCTACCTGCACCTCACGCCCCTCTGCTACCTGCACCTCACGCCCCTCTGCTACCTGCACCTCACGCCCCTCTGCTACCTGCACCTCACGCCCCTCTGCTACCTGCACCTCACGCCCCTCTGCTACCTGCACCTCACGCCCCTCTGCTACCTGCACCTCACGCCCCTCTGCTACCTGCACCTCACGCCCCTCTGCTACCTGCACCTCACGCCCCTCTGCTACCTGCACCTCACGCCCCTCTGCTACCTGCACCTCACGCCCCTCTGCTACCTGCACCTCACGCCCCTCTGCTACCTGCACCTCACGCCCCTCTGCTACCTGCACCTCACGCCCCTCTGCTACCTGCACCTCACGCCCCTCTGCTACCTGCACCTCACGCCCCTCTGCTACCTGCACCTCACGCCCCTCTGCTACCTGCACCTCACGCCCCTCTGCTACCTGCACCTCACGCCCCTCTGCTACCTGCACCTCACGCCCCTCTGCTACCTGCACCTCACGCCCCTCTGCTACCTGCACCTCACGCCCCTCTGCTACCTGCACCTCACGCCCCTCTGCTACCTGCACCTCACGCCCCTCTGCTACCTGCACCTCACGCCCCTCTGCTACCTGCACCTCACGCCCCTCTGCTACCTGCACCTCACGCCCCTCTGCTACCTGCACCTCACGCCCCTCTGCTACCTGCACCTCACGCCCCTCTGCTACCTGCACCTCACGCCCCTCTGCTACCTGCACCTCACGCCCCTCTGCTACCTGCACCTCACGCCCCTCTGCTACCTGCACCTCACGCCCCTCTGCTACCTGCACCTCACGCCCCTCTGCTACCTGCACCTCACGCCCCTCTGCTACCTGCACCTCACGCCCCTCTGCTACCTGCACCTCACGCCCCTCTGCTACCTGCACCTCACGCCCCTCTGCTACCTGCACCTCACGCCCCTCTGCTACCTGCACCTCACGCCCCTCTGCTACCTGCACCTCACGCCCCTCTGCTACCTGCACCTCACGCCCCTCTGCTACCTGCACCTCACGCCCCTCTGCTACCTGCACCTCACGCCCCTCTGCTACCTGCACCTCACGCCCCTCTGCTACCTGCACCTCACGCCCCTCTGCTACCTGCACCTCACGCCCCTCTGCTACCTGCACCTCACGCCCCTCTGCTACCTGCACCTCACGCCCCCTCTGCTACCTGCACCTCACGCCCCTCTGCTACCTGCACCTCACGCCCCTCTGCTACCTGCACCTCACGCCCCTCTGCTACCTGCACCTCACGCCCCTCTGCTACCTGCACCTCACGCCCCTCTGCTACCTGCACCTCACGCCCCTCTGCTACCTGCACCTCACGCCCCTCTGCTACCTGCACCTCACGCCCCTCTGCTACCTGCACCTCACGCCCCTCTGCTACCTGCACCTCACGCCCCTCTGCTACCTGCACCTCACGCCCCTCTGCTACCTGCACCTCACGCCCCTCTGCTACCTGCACCTCACGCCCCTCTGCTACCTGCACCTCACGCCCCTCTGCTACCTGCACCTCACGCCCCTCTGCTACCTGCACCTCACGCCCCTCTGCTACCTGCACCTCACGCCCCTCTGCTACCTGCACCTCACGCCCCTCTGCTACCTGCACCTCACGCCCCTCTGCTACCTGCACCTCACGCCCCTCTGCTACCTGCACCTCACGCCCCTCTGCTACCTGCACCTCACGCCCCTCTGCTACCTGCACCTCACGCCCCTCTGCTACCTGCACCTCACGCCCCTCTGCTACCTGCACCTCACGCCCCTCTGCTACCTGCACCTCACGCCCCTCTGCTACCTGCACCTCACGCCCCTCTGCTACCTGCACCTCACGCCCCTCTGCTACCTGCACCTCACGCCCCTCTGCTACCTGCACCTCACGCCCCTCTGCTACCTGCACCTCACGCCCCTCTGCTACCTGCACCTCACGCCCCTCTGCTACCTGCACCTCACGCCCCTCTGCTACCTGCACCTCACGCCCCTCTGCTACCTGCACCTCACGCCCCTCTGCTACCTGCACCTCACGCCCCTCTGCTACCTGCACCTCACGCCCCTCTGCTACCTGCACCTCACGCCCCTCTGCTACCTGCACCTCACGCCCCTCTGCTACCTGCACCTCACGCCCCTCTGCTACCTGCACCTCACGCCCCTCTGCTACCTGCACCTCACGCCCCTCTGCTACCTGCACCTCACGCCCCTCTGCTACCTGCACCTCACGCCCCTCTGCTACCTGCACCTCACGCCCCTCTGCTACCTGCACCTCACGCCCCTCTGCTACCTGCACCTCACGCCCCTCTGCTACCTGCACCTCACGCCCCTCTGCTACCTCACGCCCCTCTGCTACCTGCACCTCACGCCCCTCTGCTACCTGCACCTCACGCCCCTCTGCTACCTGCACCTCACGCCCCTCTGCTACCTGCACCTCACGCCCCTCTGCTACCTGCACCTCACGCCCCTCTGCTACCTGCACCTCACGCCCCTCTGCTACCTGCACCTCACGCCCCTCTGCTACCTGCACCTCACGCCCCTCTGCTACCTGCACCTCACGCCCCTCTGCTACCTGCACCTCACGCCCCTCTGCTACCTGCACCTCACGCCCCTCTGCTACCTGCACCTCACGCCCCTCTGCTACCTGCACCTCACGCCCCTCTGCTACCTGCACCTCACGCCCCTCTGCTACCTGCACCTCACGCCCCTCTGCTACCTGCACCTCACGCCCCTCTGCTACCTGCACCTCACGCCCCTCTGCTACCTGCACCTCACGCCCCTCTGCTACCTGCACCTCACGCCCCTCTGCTACCTGCACCTCACGCCCCTCTGCTACCTGCACCTCACGCCCCTCTGCTACCTGCACCTCACGCCCCTCTGCTACCTGCACCTCACGCCCCTCTGCTACCTGCACCTCACGCCCCTCTGCTACCTGCACCTCACGCCCCTCTGCTACCTGCACCTCACGCCCCTCTGCTACCTGCACCTCACGCCCCTCTGCTACCTGCACCTCACGCCCCTCTGCTACCTGCACCTCACGCCCCTCTGCTACCTGCACCTCACGCCCCTCTGCTACCTGCACCTCACGCCCCTCTGCTACCTGCACCTCACGCCCCTCTGCTACCTGCACCTCACGCCCCTCTGCTACCTGCACCTCACGCCCCTCTGCTACCTGCACCTCACGCCCCTCTGCTACCTGCACCTCACGCCCCTCTGCTACCTGCACCTCACGCCCCTCTGCTACCTGCACCTCACGCCCCTCTGCTACCTGCACCTCACGCCCCTCTGCTACCTGCACCTCACGCCCCTCTGCTACCTGCACCTCACGCCCCTCTGCTACCTGCACCTCACGCCCCTCTGCTACCTGCACCTCACGCCCCTCTGCTACCTGCACCTCACGCCCCTCTGCTACCTGCACCTCACGCCCCTCTGCTACCTGCACCTCACGCCCCTCTGCTACCTGCACCTCACGCCCCTCTGCTACCTGCACCTCACGCCCCTCTGCTACCTGCACCTCACGCCCCTCTGCTACCTGCACCTCACGCCCCTCTGCTACCTGCACCTCACGCCCCTCTGCTACCTGCACCTCACGCCCCTCTGCTACCTGCACCTCACGCCCCTCTGCTACCTGCACCTCACGCCCCTCTGCTACCTGCACCTCACGCCCCTCTGCTACCTGCACCTCACGCCCCTCTGCTACCTGCACCTCACGCCCCTCTGCTACCTGCACCTCACGCCCCTCTGCTACCTGCACCTCACGCCCCTCTGCTACCTGCACCTCACGCCCCTCTGCTACCTGCACCTCACGCCCCTCTGCTACCTGCACCTCACGCCCCTCTGCTACCTGCACCTCACGCCCCTCTGCTACCTGCACCTCACGCCCCTCTGCTACCTGCACCTCACGCCCCTCTGCTACCTGCACCTCACGCCCCTCTGCTACCTGCACCTCACGCCCCTCTGCTACCTGCACCTCACGCCCCTCTGCTACCTGCACCTCACGCCCCTCTGCTACCTGCACCTCACGCCCCTCTGCTACCTGCACCTCACGCCCCTCTGCTACCTGCACCTCACGCCCCTCTGCTACCTGCACCTCACGCCCCTCTGCTACCTGCACCTCACGCCCCTCTGCTACCTGCACCTCACGCCCCTCTGCTACCTGCACCTCACGCCCCTCTGCTACCTGCACCTCACGCCCCTCTGCTACCTGCACCTCACGCCCCTCTGCTACCTGCACCTCACGCCCCTCTGCTACCTGCACCTCACGCCCCTCTGCTACCTGCACCTCACGCCCCTCTGCTACCTGCACCTCACGCCCCTCTGCTACCTGCACCTCACGCCCCTCTGCTACCTGCACCTCACGCCCCTCTGCTACCTGCACCTCACGCCCCTCTGCTACCTGCACCTCACGCCCCTCTGCTACCTGCACCTCACGCCCCTCTGCTACCTGCACCTCACGCCCCTCTGCTACCTGCACCTCACGCCCCTCTGCTACCTGCACCTCACGCCCCTCTGCTACCTGCACCTCACGCCCCTCTGCTACCTGCACCTCACGCCCCTCTGCTACCTGCACCTCACGCCCCTCTGCTACCTGCACCTCACGCCCCTCTGCTACCTGCACCTCACGCCCCTCTGCTACCGTCCATCACCACCCTCGACCTCCGCCGGGTCAACCATGTCTCGCCGCTCGCCATGAGGCACCTCCTCCGCCTGCCCTCCCTCACAACCCTTCACTTCCACGAAATTTCCATCCATGCAGATGCGCTGCCACTCTTGCAGTGCATCCCTCGCCTCCACCGGCTCGTCATAGCCTGCTTTGACCCCTTTGACCTGCTTCCCAACGTACCACCCAAGCGCCACGGCAGCCGGTCCCCTCTGTGTGATACCATCAGCAATCTCCAGCCATTTCAGCCGTTTCAGTGCTTGCGAGAGCTGCATGTGAGCCGCGTGACTGACTCTATTCTGCATCAGGTGGGGGTGCTGACGAGCCTTGAGGCCTTCTCCTGCACGTGCAGCAAAGGGGTGAGTGCTAAGGGCTGGACCCACCTCAGGGGACTGGTGAAGCTGAGGAGGCTGCAGGTGGCGCCAACAATCATCACCAGGCACCCGGGATCCAACGGCCACCACTTCGGCATGGTGTGTGCTATATGGCATGTGGCGCATGGTGTGTGCTATATGGCATGTGGCGCATGGTGTGTGCTATATGGCATGTGGCGCATGGTGTGTGCTATATGGCATGTGGCGCATGGTGTGTGCTATATGGCATGTGGCGCATGGTGTGTGCTATATGGCATGTGTCGCATGATGTGTGCTATATGGCATGTGCTGCAAAAGCACCCTGTATGTGAGCAGTTGGAGTTGTGAGGTGTCATGGTGGTGGTAAGAGCGCCATGGGGAATGAGCAGCACACAAGCTGGTAGCTGTGGTGTTAGTTTTGCGAACTGCAATTGAGATGAACTTCTGCTGTGGTTAAAAGTAGTGTTATGCAGCATCCTATCCTGACCAAACACCCTGCCTCCATTACGACCCTTCTGTAAGCATCATCGGTTTGTAAAGAAGAGTTGTACCTCAGAAGAAACTTCTTCCACGTAATTGTCATTAAACCATGTGTGGATGGATGCATGTCAAATCAATCCTCTGAATTTAATGGCATACCGTATGTTGGTTCTCTCTTAGAGTTGATTAGCTTGTATGGAATGTTACTCATCCTTCCCCATATGAAAAAAAACACCCTCTATCTTATTAGCAGTGTGAGATAAGACATACGGTACAGGCCCCTAGATTCGTTTTGAGGTAGTCTGAGGCCTCAGAGTACACCCCTCCTGGAACTCTGTCTGTCAGAGGTGCCTCAAAAGTTTAGTCTGAAAATTCAGACAGGCACAAATTTTTTTGTCTGAACTGTCAGAGTTACTTCAAATTTTAAGATGTTCATGCACTTTCGTAAAAGCAGTTATAATAGCATTGAAGCTGATTACAGCATACCATACCAACGCATCAGGCAACGTGCTCGTGCTCGTGCATCGCCTCTGCTCATGTCGGCGGCGTTCCGGTGTTTTTGTCACATGCAGCGCATGGTTGTTTCTGCTCTGCTGCTGATCTCATTTCGTTTTGTCGTGTGTGTGATTACCGTTCTGTACCCATTTTCTCGCATGTGTGCCGATTTTGTCAGTTTTGGATTTGCTTTTCAAGCGATGCGATCGTTCACCCGATCTGTATCAGGTGGGCCAAGTGCCACGCGACACCCTCGGCCCGAATAGAGCACCCGATCTGTATCAGGTGGGCCAAGTGCCACGCGACACCCTCGGCCCGAGTAGAGCACCCGATCTGTATCAGGTGGGCCAAGTGCCACGCAGCTGAGCTGGCAGCAGGCAGAAACTGTTGCTTGGCGTGGCATGTGAGCATCAGACAGTGCCACACGAAACTTTCACTACGAATCAGGAACGTCGCAATTCACACCAGTGCGTGTTGCATATGCTTTTACAGCGAATCAGCATCAAAGTCGCCTATTCTTTACAGTACATAAACGATAACTTACATGTGACGAGATTTTGTCTTCAGAAATCTCGTAATCACGCAACCATTTCCTCAGCGTAACTGGAAGATATTCGCGACGAACGAGTGTATTTGGATGTCCCAGCTGTCGAAGTGAGTGTTGCTCACGTCTTGGCACTCCACTGCCATCTCGGAAGTGGGCATATCGGAAGGAAACTTCCAGGAAACTTCGCTCCGATAAGCGCGCAGAGTGTACCCCTGATACAAGTCTGAGGCTCAGCCTACCCTAGTAAAATTAGGCTGAAATTTCAGACAACTCATAAGAAAAAACTCTGGAAAATCAGACAAGGTACATAAATAAATTCTTTGAGTTCAGACTAGGTACAAAAAAAAAGTCTGAACGGACTCTGATTCAGACTCCAAAGTCTGATATCTAGGGCACTGATATGGTACTTGTATATCTACTATCGAGAAAATGACATTAATATAAATAGGAGACCTTATTATTTCACTCCAATGTTATAAGGGCAGGGGACTTGCCATGGTCATGGCATTACCACTCGCCCAGGTTCATGGCCACAAACCCGTTATACAGCCGCCCATTGGTCGCTCTGAGCTCATTGATGAGGCGACTCCAGTTGGACCCCAGCGACCCGATGAACACATCGCACTGCGCTGCAATGAGCAAGCTCGCCAGGCTGGCAGCGGGCGACTGCAGCGCGTCGTACGCGTGCGGGTCCAGCGCGCCCTCTGGCAGGCGCCCGTTGGCCGCGTAGAGGAAGGTCCACCCCGCATAGAGCGGCGTGGCCGCCTCGTTGATCACTGACTGTAGGGTGGTTGGGAGGGGAGGGCGGAGAGGGATGGATGGGTGAGGACAGGCGCGTGCAGCGCGCGGCGTACGCGTGGTGGCCCAGGGCGCCCTCTGGCCCACCCCTGTTGCTCGTTGGCCGCGCAGAGGAACGTTCACAGACCCGTGCATTTGTGAGTGTGGCCGCCTTGTTGATCACCGACTGCAGGGTGGTGGCAGGAAGGGTGGGGGAGGGGCAGGGTGTTATGCGTGTGGAGGTGCAGTGTGGTGTGGGCAGGTGGGCGCAACGGGAGCAGGGTGGTGGCTTCGCAGGGCACTGAGTGCCGCGAGTGCAGTGAGGGAGTTGGCAAGCAGCCCGTGGTGAGTGGGGGTAGCAACAATGAGAGGGTTGGCCCTGCGCTCACCACTCGCGCGCAGAGGGAGGGAGAGTGGGATACAGGGAGGTACGCAGGAAACGAAACAGGCAGGCAGGAGGGAGAGAGGAAGGCAGTGAGGGAGAGGAGGAAGAAAAGCAGGGTGGAATGAGGGAAGCAAGAATGGTAGGAGAGAGGAAGGGACGAATGGGAACGGCAAAGAGCACACGGGCAGCAGTGCCTTGATCTTGTCGTGCTGACTCGCCTGCATTTCAGTGGAGAGCCACACGTGCTTGAGGTCCACGAGGGTGCGCTGCAGGCGGGCGGCAAACAGCATGTGGGCGGCGAACGACCACACACCCATCTCCACCTGCTTGTCGCTCTGCCTCACATGCATGCTCACGATGGGCCGCACCATGTACGGCTCACACACAAGCGATGCCCCACTCGCACCTCCACCAGCTGCAGCACATGCAGCAGCAGCAGCAGGAGCGGCAGTCGAATCGGTGGAGAAATTTCCATCAGCAAACCTTGCTGCTGCTGCGGTTGCAACTGCTGCAGCGATGGCGCTGGCCTCAGCAGCGGCGGAGGCACTGGGAGCGTTTGAGTCAGTGGGTGGGGGCAGAGGTGGCAGTGACTGCTGCAGCTGTGAGTGAAGCTCTGCTTGCCGCGCGATGCGATTGGCTGTGTGCATGCCGTAGGCGGTGTGCCTCTGTTGGTTGATGACGTGGCAGAGATGGGCTGATGGCCACCTCAGCATGAAGCGCACCGCCTGCGCCCGCCACCAGTGTAACTGCAGCGCACCGGGAAAAAAGGAGGGGAAGCCAGTGAGAAGAGAGGAGTGGGAGCGGGTCTCATACCCCTGAAAACTCATGAGGTTACTGCAGCCGCCAGGAGTGCAGCTGCTGACAAGCACACGGCAAGAAACAAGTGAAGGTTGGGCACAGAGGCAACACGTGGAAAGGAAGAATTTCACGAAAGGGGTGAGGCCATGGCATGTACGCCTTTCTTAGAGAAACTGAGGTACAAGGTTCCTGTGGGAACGAGGTGTTGTGTAGTCTGCTTGCAGAAACACATGTGCACCACGCTCCTTGCAGAAACACATATGCACCACGCTCCTTGCAGAAACACATATGCACCACGCTCCTTGCAGAAACACATATGCACCACGCTCCTTGCAGAAACACATATGCACCACGCTCCTTGCAGAAACACATATGCACCACGCTCCTTGCAGAAACACATATGCACCACGCTCCTTGCAGAAACACATATGCACCACGCTCCTTGCAGCAACACATATGCACCACGCTCCTTGCAGCAACTCATATGCACCACGCTCCTTGCTCAACACATATGCACCACGCTCCTTGCTCAACACATATGCACCACGCTCCTTGCTCAACACATATGCACCACGCTCCTTGCTCAACCTCTGGTCCCTCTCCCACCCACCTTCTTGTGCTCGGTGCCCTCCAGCTGCACCTCCCCTCGCAGCTCCACCACATCGGGGTCCTTGGCATATACCTCGCCCCACAGCCTGCCACTCATGCCATGCCATGCCATGCCATGCCATGCCAATGCGATGCCATGCCATGCCACGCCATCCCATGCCATGCCAATGCGATGCCATGCCAATGCCATGCCGTGCCGTGTCATGCCATGCCATGCCACGCCATCCCATGCCGTGCCGGTGGGGCAGGTGGGGCAGGTGGGGCAGGTGAGGCAGCAGCTCAACTCACTTCTGTGTATCCCACATGCCACCTCTGGATCCCACATGCCACCTCTGGATCCCACCTGCCACCTCTGGATCCCACCTGCCACCTCTGGATCCCACCTGCCACCTCTGGATCCCACCTGCCACCTCTGGATCCCACCTGCCACCTCTGGATCCCACCTGCCACCTCTGGATCCCACATGCCACCTCTGGATCCCACCTGCCACCTCTGGATCCCACCTGCCACCTCTGGATCCCACCTGCCACCTCTGGATCCCACCTGCCACCTCTGGATCCCACCTGCCACCTCTGGATCCCACCTGCCACCTCTGGATCCCACCTGCCACCTCTGGATCCCACTGCCACCTCTGGATCCCACCTGCCACCTCTGGATCCCACCTGCCAACCTCTGGATCCCACCTGCCACCTCTGGATCCCACCTGCCACCTCTGGATCCCACCTGCCACCTCTGGATCCCACCTGCCACCTCTGGATCCCACCTGCCACCTCTGGATCCCACCTGCCACCTCTGGATCCCACCTGCCACCTCTGGATCCCACCTGCCACCTCTGGATCCCACCTGCCACCTCTGGATCCCACCTGCCACCTCTGGATCCCACCTGCCACCTCTGGATCCCACCTGCCACCTCTGGATCCCACCTGCCACCTCTGGATCCCACCTGCCACCTCTGGATCGCCAAGAATCAAATCACAGCCATGAAGCACACAAGCTCCACACCTGCTGCTGCTGCCACATCCAACCGAACTGAACCCATCCTCACCGGCCCAAGGCCGCTCTGCAACTGACCCGGCAGCGGAGGCTTCGAACTTGAGGTCGTTGAGGGCCGACGTGTTCACACACACCACCCTCTCCGCTGCCGCTGCTGCCGCCCTGTAGCCCTCCGCTGGGGCGACACATGGCGGTAGTTGATTAGTGGAGAGGGCGAGGGCGACCTCTTGGGAGCAGAGAGGGGAGGCGATGGGGGTGAAGAAGCAGGACCAGGAGCTGCCGTGGCCCATGGCTGGTGGGGCGGACAGAGGGGGATGAGCGGTGGGAGTTGAGAGGCGTGTGGGGCATTGCATTGGGCATGCCTGCGGTCAAGCGTTTGTTTGGTGTGATGGCTGCAGGAGAAGTGAGGGCGGTTGCAGCTGTTGGAGTTGAGGGTCGGAACACTGTTGGCATGAGTGGGTAGTGCGGAGTAGAGGTGTGATGTCAGTATGCCTGTAGCAGGAGACATGAGCTTGAATGTGAAGACCTCCTCTCAAATATTTTGTGAACAGTGTCTGAATGCGAGTAGCAAGTGAGAATGCGAGTCAACACTTGAAATCATGAAGTGATCAACAGTGTTACATGCCCATTGCTCCATGTTGATTGACAAACCAGGCAGCTTAACTGAGAAGCTTCTCTGCCAACGTGCGTTCAATCAAGGCACAGTAGAAGCAAGGCGAATAAGGATGTCTCTTGAATGCACGAAATTTCGAGAGAGACATTCCCGAAGGAACGAATGTGTGCATAGCATACCACCTCTCGATGTGGCTTTGGATTCGTTTAATGAACGAATGCTGTCGCACTACATGCACTGAGTTGCTCTTAGCACAGGTCGCACAGCAGCACAGGTCGCACAGCAGCACAGGTCGCACAGCAGCACAGGTCGCACAGCAGCACAGGTCGCACAGCAGCACAGGTCGCACAGGAGCACAGGCAATACTTGGAAGGCTAGGGAAGCGAAATACGAGTTGATGACACAGTGGTAGCAGGTGGAGTGTGAGAGCACACCACACTCAAGCAAGCACAGAAGGGATGCTGAGGGGGGAAGGTCGGGGTGGGGCGGGGCAAGGATGGAAGCGACAAGGTGGAGTGAGGGAGATGTTCGTCTGGGCTGGGCTAGCCCAGGGCGACTCACCGTGGGGCGGGGCAGTGTGTGGGGCTGGTAGTGTGTGGGTGGTGGGGTGCAAGTGCGAGCACAAGGGTGGGTGACTGACCGTGGCAGTGGTGACTGACCGTGGCAGTGGTGACTGACCGTGGTAGTGGTGACTGACCGTGGCAGTGGGAGGAGTTGGCGCGGCCGTAGGAGGCGGGCAGCGGCACGAGGATGCGATTGGAGGACAGGGCCACGCTCAGCAGCACTGCCATGATGTGCACCTGACGCCCAGGTGAATCCCAGGTGGTTTCAACAAAGGCAGGTGAGTGAGACAACAGGGATTCACCTGGGCGTGCACTGGACAACAGTGCTTGTGCTCGAGCTCAAGGGCCGAGCTCAAGCACTGGGGTTTGGGCGCCTCAAGGAGTGGCGGGACACAGGGCGTCCGCGCATTCGAGAGCTTAAGCATAAGCAACTCTGGGAGGGACACACTGCTGCCTCGTGCACTGCCCGAGAGCATCAATCGTCGCTCCCACTGGTGCTCATCATACCATCCCATGCCATGCCACGCCATGCCATGCCATGCCATGCCATGCCATGCCATGCCATGCCATGCCATGCCATGCCATGCCATGCCACGCCACGCCACGCCACGCCACGCCATGCCATGCCATGCCATGCCATGCCATGCCATGCCATGCCATGCACGCCATGCCATGCCGTGCCATGCCATGCCAGCATGTGTACCTGCGACCCCATGCCATGCCAGCATGTGTACCTGCGACCCCATGCCATGCCAGCATGTGTACCTGCGACCCCATGCCATGCCAGCATGTGTACCTGCGACCCCATGCCATGCCAGCATGTGTACCTGCGACCCCATGCCATGCCAGCATGTGTACCTGCGACCCCATGCCATGCCAGCATGTGTACCTGCGACCCCATGCCATGCCAGCATGTGTACCTGCGACCCCATGCCATGCCAGCATGTGTACCTGCGACCCCATGCCATGCCAGCATGTGTACCTGCGACCCCATGCCATGCCAGCATGTGTACCTGCGACCCCATGCCATGCCAGCATGTGTACCTGCGACCCCATGCCATGCCAGCATGTGTACCTGCGACCCCATGCCATGCCAGCATGTGTACCTGCGACCCCATGCCATGCCAGCATGTGTACCTGCGACCCCATGCCATGCCAGCATGTGTACCTGCGACCCCATGCCATGCCAGCATGTGTACCTGCGACCCCATGCCATGCCAGCATGTGTACCTGCGACCCCATGCCATGCCAGCATGTGTACCTGCGACCCCATGCCATGCCAGCATGTGTACCTGCGACCCCATGCCATGCCAGCATGTGTACCTGCGACCCCATGCCATGGCAGCATGTGTACCTGCGACCCCATGCCATGGCAGCATGTGTACCTGCGACCCCATGCCATGGCAGCATGTGTACCTGCGACCCCATGCCATGGCAGCATGTGTACCTGCGACCCCATGCCATGGCAGCATGTGTACCTGCGACCCCATGCCATGGCAGCATGTGTACCTGCGACCCCATGCCATGGCAGCATGTGTACCTGCGACCCCATGCCATGGCAGCATGTGTACCTGCGACCCCATGCCATGGCAGCATGTGTACCTGCGACCCCATGCCATGGCAGCATGTGTACCTGCGACCCCATGCCATGGCAGCATGTGTACCTGCGACCCCATGCCATGGCAGCATGTGTACCTGCGACCCCATGCCATGGCAGCATGTGTACCTGCGACCCCATGCCATGGCAGCATGTGTACCTGCGACCCCATGCCATGGCAGCATGTGTACCTGCGACCCCATGCCATGGCAGCATGTGTACCTGCGACCCCATGCCATGGCAGCATGTGTACCTGCGACCCCATGCCATGGCAGCATGTGTACCTGCGACCCCATGCCATGGCAGCATGTGTACCTGCGACCCCATGCCATGGCAGCATGTGTACCTGCGACCCCATGCCATGGCAGCATGTGTACCTGCGACCCCATGCCATGGCAGCATGTGTACCTGCGACCCCATGCCATGGCAGCATGTGTACCTGCGACCCCATGCCATGGCAGCATGTGTACCTGCGACCCCATGCCATGGCAGCATGTGTACCTGCGACCCCATGCCATGGCAGCATGTGTACCTGCGACCCCATGCCATGGCAGCATGTGTACCTGCGACCCCATGCCATGGCAGCATGTGTACCTGCGACCCCATGCCATGGCAGCATGTGTACCTGCGACCCCATGCCATGGCAGCATGTGTACCTGCGACCCCATGCCATGGCAGCATGTGTACCTGCGACCCCATGCCATGGCAGCATGTGTACCTGCGACCCCATGCCATGGCAGCATGTGTACCTGCGACCCCATGCCATGGCAGCATGTGTACCTGCGACCCCATGCCATGGCAGCATGTGTACCTGCGACCCCATGCCATGGCAGCATGTGTACCTGCGACCCCATGCCATGGCAGCATGGCATGTGTACCTGCGACCCCATGCCATGGCAGCATGTGTACCTGCGACCCCATGCCATGGCAGCATGTGTACCTGCGACCCCATGCCATGGCAGCATGTGTACCTGCGACCCCATGCCATGGCAGCATGTGTACCTGCGACCCCATGCCATGGCAGCATGTGTACCTGCGACCCCATGCCATGGCAGCATGTGTACCTGCGACCCCATGCCATGGCAGCATGTGTACCTGCGACCCCATGCCATGGCAGCATGTGTACCTGCGACCCCATGCCATGGCAGCATGTGTACCTGCGACCCCATGCCATGGCAGCATGTGTACCTGCGACCCCATGCCATGGCAGCATGTGTACCTGCGACCCCATGCCATGGCAGCATGTGTACCTGCGACCCCATGCCATGGCAGCATGTGTACCTGCGACCCCATGCCATGGCAGCATGTGTACCTGCGACCCCATGCCATGGCAGCATGTGTACCTGCGACCCCATGCCATGGCAGCATGTGTACCTGCGACCCCATGCCATGGCAGCATGTGTACCTGCGACCCCATGCCATGGCAGCATGTGTACCTGCGACCCCATGCCATGGCAGCATGTGTACCTGCGACCCCATGCCATGGCAGCATGTGTACCTGCGACCCCATGCCATGGCAGCATGTGTACCTGCGACCCCATGCCATGGCAGCATGTGTACCTGCGACCCCATGCCATGGCAGCATGTGTACCTGCGACCCCATGCCATGGCAGCATGTGTACCTGCGACCCCATGCCATGGCAGCATGTGTACCTGCGACCCCATGCCATGGCAGCATGTGTACCTGCGACCCCATGCCATGGCAGCATGTGTACCTGCGACCCCATGCCATGGCAGCATGTGTACCTGCGACCCCATGCCATGGCAGCATGTGTACCTGCGACCCCATGCCATGGCAGCATGTGTACCTGCGACCCCATGCCATGGCAGCATGTGTACCTGCGACCCCATGCCATGGCAGCATGTGTACCTGCGACCCCATGCCATGGCAGCATGTGTACCTGCGACCCCATGCCATGGCAGCATGTGTACCTGCGACCCCATGCCATGGCAGCATGTGTACCTGCGACCCCATGCCATGGCAGCATGTGTACCTGCGACCCCATGCCATGGCAGCATGTGTACCTGCGACCCCATGCCATGGCAGCATGTGTACCTGCGACCCCATGCCATGGCAGCATGTGTACCTGCGACCCCATGCCATGGCAGCATGTGTACCTGCGACCCCATGCCATGGCAGCATGTGTACCTGCGACCCCATGCCATGGCAGCATGTGTACCTGCGACCCCATGCCATGGCAGCATGTGTACCTGCGACCCCATGCCATGGCAGCATGTGTACCTGCGACCCCATGCCATGGCAGCATGTGTACCTGCGACCCCATGCCATGGCAGCATGTGTACCTGCGACCCCCATGCCATGGCAGCATGTGTACCTGCGACCCCATGCCATGGCAGCATGTGTACCTGCGACCCCATGCCATGGCAGCATGTGTACCTGCGACCCCATGCCATGGCAGCATGTGTACCTGCGACCCCATGCCATGGCAGCATGTGTACCTGCGACCCCATGCCATGGCAGCATGTGTACCTGCGACCCCATGCCATGGCAGCATG